CCAAACAAATGCATGTCTGGAGTAAACCCTGAACCCTGAACCCTGAACCCTAAACCCTAAACCCTAAACCCTAAACCAAGTTGCCGAGGATCCGGAAGATGCGGGCTTTTATTCCGAACCCTCCGAGCTGCAACTCGTCTGGTTGAGGCTTTAGGCGTCTCTTTCTTTCGGTGAGGGAGGAATGCAGGGCCTTCTTATCTATAGTCTCCATTGTAGTTCCTTTTGGGGGATACCTTGTATATTCCTTAATATATAATTGGTTTCATCCAAAAAAAGGAACTACAATGGAGACTATAGGTAGGATGTCATCATATGGGGTTTGTAGGGTTTGAATCGGGCTTTGTTGATTAAGGACAGGTGCTTGGTTATAAGAACGGTTTTGGGGGAAGGCGGTCTTGAGTTTCGTAGGTCTTCCATAGTTTTAAGCTGCAGTTGTAGTGCGTGTTATGGGTGTTGTTCACATGAAGAGTTGTGTACCTGGGCTGGAAGACTCAGTGATACTGGTTCCCTCGGGCAGCCTAATTCATTCTAGTTTCCACACACACACACAACAAAATGAGCTTCAGTCTAGTCATCCGGGGTAACTTCGAATCTGACGACCCTTCATGCGCGAGCAAGTATTGGGATCGCTGCGAAGAGGTTTTAGGTCCCCAGCGATTTAGTTTAGGTTCTTACCACAGTCACACATATGTTTTCCGACTCCGAATTCGGTCCTATTATCAGACCTCAGACCCCAAAGCAAGTACTATTTGTGCACTTGGAATCCGAAGGGTTGAGTGTTAATTTTCGGTGCCGGCATAAATGGTACATACTAGCCTTTGGTTTCCTTCCTATAGTTAGCTTACCGTAATATACGAGAATATAACCTTTGAAAACCCCAAGTCCCGAACCCTTAACCCAAACCCTTAGGCTCAAAAACGAGGCCCAACAGCCTTTTATAGTATGGCCCTTGGGCCCAGAAGCATTAAAATATGAGTAGCCTTAGGGCCTAAGGGAAACCCTTAAAGACCCAAGAACGCTCCTAAGCTAAGCCCTAAACCCTAAACCCTAAACCCTAAACCCTAAACCCTAAACCCTAAACCCTAAACCCTAAACCCTAAACCCTAAACCTAAGCTAAGCCCTGTTCTTTCGGGCCTTTCAGCTCCTGAAGAGCTGCAGGCACGAAGATGAAGCTATGCTCTGCCGCCCCTGGGCCTGAGCTGCCTTACCTTGCCTTTAGGATTTTGTGTTTAGGGCTTAGGGTTTAGGGTTTAGGGGTTTAGGGTTCAGGGTGTTTAGGGGTTTAGGGTTCAGGGTTTAGGGTTTTTGGTTCAGGGTTTAGGATTTAGGGTTTAGGGTGTTTAGGGTTCAGGGTTTAAGGGTTCAGGGTTTAAGGGTTCAGGGTTCAGGCTTGAGGCTTCCAGGGCCTTGGAGGCATTGGGGCTTGAGGAGTTTCTGGAGTAGGGCTCGGAGGGTTTAGGGCTCAGGGGTTTTAGGATTTTCGGGTTTAGGGTTTTAGGCATGGTTTTAGGGTTTTTGGGCTTAGGGTTTAGGGTTTAGAAGGGCTTGAAGAGTTGCCGGGTTTTGGGCCTGCTGGTGCAGGTCAAGTTCGTGGTCAACTAGGGCGCGGAGGCTTTACGAGATAGATGGGTAGCTCTCTAAAGTAGGGTCCCTTTTGGGGTCCTTTTTGTAAGGGTGCCGTACTATTGTGGGAACCTACAAAGGGATTCTAATTTAGAGAAATACCCATAGCCCTAAACCCTACACACCTGATCTGGTTGAACTTTGTGTTTCGGCTTCTCACCTTCTGGGTTCAGCCCTCGAGCCCCCCACGTTGTCTACCAGATGGATAGGTGGACACTTGCGCTTGTCCTAAGCCCTTTACCTAAGCCCTTGTTCAGTTGTTGGGGCGTTTAAGGCCAGACGGTTTCGTTCCTTGAGCCCCAACCTTAGCGTCTAAACCCTATGTAAAGCCTAACCCCCCAAAAAACCTTGAAACCCCTAAACCCTAAACCCTAAACCCCTAAACCCTAAACCGCAGGTGAAAGCAGCTCGGCCCGCTCGGCCCGGTTGTTAGCCTCCGCGACCCGCCCATGCGGGCGGCGTTGCTGCTTGGACGAAAGACGGTGTTGAAGGTTTGGAAAGACGTACTTTATTAATGAATTCTTTTACATGAATTCGTTTACATCCGTTTCACGTAGTTTGTATAGAGGTTCAGGAATTATAGGTTTTGTATGGTTTTGTTGGATACTCTGTCCTAATTAACTACGTAGTAGAAAGTAGGGTTTCGAGAATGTGAGATGCGAGTAAATCGTCGAAGAAAGTAGGGCTTTATCATTTGAGTTACTACTGTGGTTTGGGTAGAATACATGTAGCAGAGCTTGCGTCCGTTTCTGGGCCAGCGGGCGACATCAACACTGCTGAAGTATCTTGAAGAGCTTAATGAACATGGATTTCCTAAACGGGCCCAGAAGCATTGTGAGTGACAAACGGTCGGTGGGCCTTAGGAGGGTTTGCCAGATTTTTCTGTGGCTTTCTGGAAGTGTTGGACTGGTTCCTTAAGCTGAGGATTGCATGATTTCGACGTCCTCGAAACAGCGATCCTCTTTTGTAGGACATTACATGAGGATTTTGTCTTGTCTGAGACTCCGAGATGACCTTCCTTAAAGTCGAAGCTCACTAAGCCTTCAAGCACTAAACCAGTACAAGCCTGAGCCTAGCAAGGCCGTTTGCCTGCAGGACAGTCTGCACTGTAGCTCGGTGTTTGCGTTACTTTGTTTTTTTTTACTACCGTTGACGATATAAATCCTGCATTGGCCATAATAAGGAATATGCCATAATTCCCATGGTGTAGGGTCCTTAAGGTAATGCAGGATTTATATCATCAACAGTATGGGTATGGGGCTCTGACCCTGGCCCTGGTTAGACATCAAAAAGTTCTAGCACGAAACGGAACTATAATGGATCCTATAGGAAATTCTAATCCGAAACGGAACTGTAATGGATCCTATAGGAAAGTCAGGCTATGTAAGCAAACTGAACCCCTATACATTCCGAACGTCCGACCGTCAGTTCTCGAAGGAGGCACTGGATGAATACGTTAGTCAACCCAGCGTTTTCAGTTCTTGCCGCAAAGGCCTGGCCGCATCCGTCACATCGGTTTCCGCCATCCTCTTACTTGCTGTTGTAGTCGTTGCCAGACAGGCCGGGGAGGGTCAGGATTTCGTTCACCCTTAACCCTAAACCCCAACTCTAAACCCCAAACCCTAGACCACCTCAATTGGGCTATTTGGAGTCTACGGTTTAGGCTAATCCGGTTAGGGGTTTAGGGGTTTCAGGGTTCAGGGTTAGGGGTTTAGGGGTTTAGGGTTAAGGGTTTAAGCTTTCTGAATTATCGGCTTAGGTTCAGGATTCGTGCTTCAGGGCCTACATGTAGCCCCAAACCCTACAGCCTCAACAGGACCAAAACCCTTAAAGCAATAGGTTTTCGGATCGACAGGTAGGGTTGGGATACTGCCCCTCCCAATAACAGATGAATAGTACTTATGATATAGATCTATATATATATATATAGCCCTTAAGAGGAGCCCTCTTGTAGACTGTTGTTTGTATAAAGACTTGCATCTCCAGGTTGAGGATTCGCAGTTGACAGTTTGAGATTCACCCCGAACCCTAAACCCCTAAGCCCGAGAGCTTACCCTAAGGGTCCAAGTACCTAATAATCATATACTCTCCCAAATATTAACCTAGAAAACTACTATCCGCAACCAAAGTACCTCATTATTGGGTCCTTTGGACCCTTTGGGTTAGGGTTTAGGGTTTCTGGGAAGGGCGAGGTCTCTTCAGGCTTTGGTGGGATTTCCCATGTCCTAAACCCCAAGGCTCTAAGGCGGTTTAGGGTTTAGGCTTGACGCTTTAGGGTTTAGGGTTTAGGGGTTTAGGGTTTAGGGTTTACGGTAAGGACTCATATGTTTAAGGCTTTTGGGCTCAAAGACCATACTAGATAAGGCTTTTGGGCTATTTTGAGCCTCAGGGGAAGATGGGCCGTATGCCGGCCCTATGGAGTCAGACCACTTGCTCGACAGAAAGGTTAAACATGCACTCAAACATGAAAAAGTTCAACCCTAAACCCCCAAAGCCTAAGCCCAAAACCCTAAACCTTGGATCGGTCATTTTCTTTTTATTGATCAGGTTGGCTACCGGCACTTCCTCGGGGGTGTTTCGTCGGAGAGTCCCACGCTTGCAGCTAGTGCTTTCAGCCAGTATTCAGGTTTTACGGTTCAGGGTTTCAGTACTCACGTCACCCAATAGAGGGAATACGACTGTCGCTACAACCTCTGTCCTTATGGTTGCTGTGCTCTTGTTCATCCCCTAACTTCTTGTCAGTGCTGTCACACTCCTTAGTCGCCACAGAAAATTACAGCTAAACCTTCGGTGTCTCGTTGTTCTTGCTTCTTTATGGCCATAGGACTGGCAAGGCTCATGAACAAGTGTGTTACTGAGCAGGGCGCTGGAGGATTTCGTGCTTTTCCCTTAATTAGTTAGTTGGGTTAAGAAGATCGAAGTTCCGACCTTTTTCGGAGGCGGACCCTAAACCCTAACCCCTAAACATGTGGGGGTGTTCTAAACCCTCAACGCCTCACCGAAGCCTCTAAAACCCTAAACCCCTAGACCACAAACAGTAAAGCCCACACCGAAACCCCCAAACCCTACATGGCCCTAACCCTAAACCCTATTGTATCCTCATTGGTGCCCTTATTCGTCGAACCCGAAACCTCAAAACCCTGAACCCTCAGTCCCACCTATACTATTTTGGGGGCTCCTTATTGTGGTTATTGTTGTGTAATATAACCCAAAAAGCCATTCAACTTATTAAGGCCCCTACATTTGTCCCTGAACCCTTTAAGCCCTACAACCTCCTAAGCCGCAAGCTCAGGTGTCAGCATGTGGGAGTTTGAAAGCCTAAACCCTAAACCCTAAACCCTAAACCCTAAGCCCGAAACCTAAGCCGCAAGCTCAGGTGTCAGCATGTGGGAGTTTGAGGGTGTCGAGCTGAAATCTGGCGACAAAGTCTTAGACATCGTGTGCCTCTGCCGCAGGGTTCGCTGATGAACTGTAGGATTGAGCGTTTAGGGTTCAGGGTTTAGGGTTTAGGATTGAGCGTTTACGGCATAGGGTTTGTAAGGTGAAGGCTTTAGGGTCTTTCGGGTTGAGGGTTAGGATTTATATCTAGGGTTTCGGTTTTAGGGTTTAGGGTAGCTTTCGATGTTGAAGTAGTCTAAATCCTGACAATTTTCTGTTCCCGGGGTGTAGGCCGGTAGAAGGGGGCCTCGGCCGCCCAGTGTTTAGGGTTCGGGTGGAAATCCACCCCTAGGGCCTCCCAAGGGCTGGAACTGTCAAGTATAGCACACCACAAAAGGCCAGTCAAGCTTCAGATTATCCACTACTAAACCCTAGACCCCTAAACCCCTAAACCCCTAAACCCTATAACCCTAATTCCTGAACCCTAAACCAATAAAGCAAAACCCTAAACCCCTACATAAACCCCTAACCCCTAAACCCTAAACCCTAAACCCTAAACCCTAAACCCTAAACCCCTAAACCCTAAACCCCTAAACCCCTAAACCCTACATACCCACGGAGTTCCACTGAGGAACAGGAAAAGCCCAAGCAGCTTCCGGGTTTATGATGGCCGGAAGTTCGGCTGTAGGGCTCTGTAGAAGTAAGAAAGGGTTTAGGGTTTAGGGTTTAGGGTTTAGGGTTTAGGGTTTAGAGTTTAGGGTTTAGGGTTTAGAGGTTTCTTGAGGATTTAGGGTTTTGTGGTTGTAAATGAGGGCTCTCAAGGTGCCTTTAGGATGTACCTTAACACCCGAAAAACTAATCCTTTAGGATTCCTTGTTCTGAAGTTCCCTCTCTAAACTCCTAACAGTATAGGTTTCGGGGGTTAAGGTAGGGCTTAAGGCTTAAGGCACATTGTCCTAAAATCAGTTTTAGGGTAGCTCCTTTATCTGCCTCAGGACATCGCTGGCAAGTTTGCGTTTGTCTGTGTACAGGAAGAAGTAGGGACCAACATTTGGGGTTTCGGGTTTAGGGGTTTAGGGTGCAAAATTTAAATTTAGGCTTTAGGGGTTCAGGGCCTAGGGATTAGGGTTGAGCACCTCCTTCCTCTTGCAACCATCATCAAAGCCCACGCGTTGGGGGAGCTGATAACTCCTCCTTCGATATTTTTGCGAAGATGCGCAAAGCATGCTTTCTTCGAGGCCGTACTGGTAGTTGTATAAATCAGGGTCCCTTTTAGGATCCTTGTTAAGAGGGGTGCTGTAAGATATTGGGGACCTACATCTACCCCAATCTCAGTCTAATAATCCCCAATGTTGAATCATGAATAGCTACCGATGTTGTTCATCGGGGTCCTTATTATGGCGGTACTGTAATGTACCTCAAAACCCTCTTCTCGTTGACAGGCCTTCGCCCGCATCACCCCAAACCCTGTTCTGAGTGGTCCCTGTTACAGGCTGGACTGAAATATGCCCCAAAGCCCTATTCTAGTTATCGAGGCCTAGACCGGGTGAAGGCCTGAGCCCTAAACCCTAACCCTAAGCATCCCTAACCCCCCCCGTGCCCAGGTTTAACGAAACCCTGGCCGAGTGCCTCGAACCGGTGAAAAACATGCCAGCGAAGCGAGGCAGCTCTCTTTCCGGGACCCTAGGCTTTAGGGTTTAGTGAAGTGTACGAATAGCACCAACACTATACTCTTATGTATGTTGTCGTATACTGACAATATGAAACCCGAAGGAATCGGATGAGAAATCAGTCCGACCCCGTACGCTAAGACTCCGAATAATGCAAAGCACAGTAACAATACATCTTATTTGTATTTGTAGACTTTAAAAACACCAAAGTAGGTACTAATTGTGCCCTTGATGTCTTCGGGATTGAGGCTTTGTAATATGGGGTCGGAATATACCCTAAACCCTAAACCCTATACCCTAAACCCCTAAACCCTAAACCCTAAACCCACATACGGGAAAGGGGCGCATTGCATCTTAAAAAAAGAACCCACATAAGGGGTAGCACTCATCCCTACAGTTGCCGATGATGACTCCGCCCCGCAAGGGTGCCCTGCACGCTTTTTCTAATGGTGTGCATCATAATTTAGGTTTAGGGTTTAGGGCTTTGGGTTTAGGGTTTAGGGTTAAGCGTTTAGGGTTTCGGGTAAAGCACTATATTCTGGTTGTGAAGATAAGGCCCCCCCATGGTCCGGCGCGCACAGTAGGTGTATTCAGGACTTTCTTTTGTTGATTTCTACCACAACCCTGCTGACTCGTAGAACGCAAGTTATACAGATCGTAATATAGAAGCCTAAATAATTACCACTATTATTGTCAGGGTTCCTTATCATAATAAGTATACTATACAGGAGCCCAGTAACATATTCTACTTATTAAGGCCCCTGCATTAGTTCTACTCACCTAAACCCTAAACCCTAAACCCTAAACCCTAAACCCTAAACCCTAAACCCTAAACCCTAAACCCTAAACCCTAAACCCTACTCTTCTGGGCCCAACGGAGCCTCCGGAAGTTGACGGGCACAGAGTGCTTTAGGGTTGTCTAGGGTTCAAGGATATTTAGGGTTTA